GGGGGGTTGCTTCTGGCACCCACGCAGCTCACCTTCTCTGCCTTAGGAGCCTGGGATGGCAGTGGGGGAGCTTCCCTCTAGGTGCTGGGACTGGCTGAGCTTCTCTGCCCTAGACAAGAAGTTTAAAATAACTATGGTGACTATGTTGTTTTAGGACAAGTGGACAATATGTATGGGCAAGAAGATAATTTTTAAAAAGGGGAGAAAAGTAGAAATGCTAGAAATAGAAAACAAATGGATAATGTCATTCAAAGATTCATCAGTAGATCTGATGCAGCTGAAGAAAAAAACAGTGGACTTGAAGACAAACCCATAGAAATTACCCAAAATGAAGCACAAAGAAGGAAACAAGTGAAAAGCTGAACATGAGCTGTGGGACAATGTCAAACAGCCTACTATAGATACAACTGAAATTCCAGAAGGTGAAGAGAAAGAACAAGGCAGAAGGAATATCTGAAAAGATACTGGCTGTTAAGTAACAGAGTGAGCTTGGTGCTGAGTCACATGCCTTTAATTTCAGCTACTCAGGAGGCTGAAGCAGGATCATATGATTGAGGCAAGTTTGGGTAAATTAGCAAAACCCTGTCTCAAAATAAAATAAAAAGAGCTGGAGTTGTAAGTCAGTGGTAGATTGCTTGCTTAGCGTGCATTAGGCCCTGGGTTCAATTCCAAGTGCTGCAATACATATACATACATACATACATAAAAAGAAATACCAAAACACAGGTCCACCAATCAAAGAAGTGCATACAGAATAGAAGAAAATCAAGAAGATGAAGGATAAGGAGAAAGAAACCTAAATGTATCATATTCAAAGAACTGAGAAAAATTTGAAGGTAGCCAGAGAAAAATGACACATAACATACAGAGGAACAAAAAATACAATACAGTAGACTTCTTCAGAAACTATATAAGTCAGATTACAATGGAATAATATCTTTCAGGTATTGAAAAAGAACAGGAAATTTCTAGGAATTCTACTTGCAGTGAAATCTTTCAAACATAAAGGAACTAATAACTTTTTTTTAGAAAAAAGAAAAACAGATTATTACTAGCAGACTGGCACTCCAAGTAAATAAAGAGGGGTTTTTTTTGAATAAAGAATTTAATAAAGTATTTAATAATGAACAGAAACCAGGATCTACAAAAAGGAATAAAGAGCATGGAAATAGTATACATGAATGTAAATTTTTAATTGTTTTAAAAGATAACTGACTGACTGACTGACTGAAGCAAAAGTAGTAGTAATGTCTTAAGGACCACAAAGGAAAGGGAAATATAAGACACCATACCACAAGGAATGGGAGGGAAGAGTGAAGAATATGTTATAAGATGCTTACAGTACAAATGAAGCAGTAGGATAGTTTTTGAAGGTAAACTGTAATCAATTTAATATTTATATTATAAACCTTATAGGAACTGCTAAAATAAATTTAAAATGAAATAAAAATAACCCCAAAGTAGACCTAAAATAGAAAAATATGAAATATTCAATATGAAAAAAGAAAAATGGAACAAATAGAAAACAGCTAGCAAGAATATAGACTTTAATCCAACCTCTTAATAATTACATTAAATATAAATTCCCATATACACTGTATAGACTCAATGACGCCCTTCCAAAATCCAAATGTTGAGTCCCTAATACCCAATGCCTATGTGACTGTTCTTAGACTTAGGGCCTTTAAAGAGGTAATTGAGGTTAGATGAGATTATCAGGGTACGGCCCTAATCTAGGATTTCTGGTTCCTTATGTGAAGAGGAAGAGACAGGAGGAATGCTCACAGAGGAGAAAAGGCCATTTGAGGAGTGTGAAGAGCAGCCATCCACAAGCCAAGAACAGAGGCCTCAGGAGAAAACAAAACTTGTACTAAAACCTTGGCCTTGGCCTTTCATCCTCTAGAACTGTAAAAAAATTAATTGCTATTGTTTAAGCCACTCAATCTTGGAAAATTCATTACAGCACTCCTAGCAGACTAACATGTGCACCAATTAAAAGATCCAATTGTCAAATTGGATTTTTTAAGACAAAATTATATTCTGCATTTTCATAGGAAGGCATAAACAGGATAAAACTGAAATAATGGGAAATACATAGTATTATGCAAACACTGTTTAAAAATAATTCTGGAGTGACCCCATTAATATCAGACAAAATTAACTTTGGAACAAGCAATATTACTAGTGCCAGAGGAGGACAGTATACTGTTATTACAGGGTAATTTACTACAAAATGTAATAATCCTAAATATGTGCCCATCTAAAATGAGAGTTTAAAAATATGTGAAGCAAAACCTGACATAACTGAAAGGATAATAGGAAAATTCACATTGTACTTAGCAAGGGCTGGGGATTTAGCTTAGTGGTTTCACCACCTGCTGCGCAAGCCCAAGGACCCGAGTTTGATCCCCGGTACCAAAAAAAAAAAATATTCCACACATTGTACTTAGCAGGTGCAATGGTCCTCTCTAAATAACTAATAGAAAAGTAGACAGAAAATCTCTAGGGTACAGAAAATCTGAACAGAAACTTCACCTATGTGGTGTTTATAGAGATTTCTACCCAATAAGAGGAGGATGCTCATTCTTTTTAATAACATATGGAAAATTCATGAAATAAATTATACTCAGGGCTATTTAAAAACTAACACATTTAAAGGAATTTAAATAATAGAAAATATTTTTCTGAGTATATCAAAATTAAACTAGAAATCAAAATCTAAAAGATATCTGAAAGAACCTCAAATATATCAAACAATTGGAAATTTTAAAACAATACTTTTAAATAACCTGTTGGTCAAAGAGGAGGTAACAGAAAATTGGAAAAAAATTAAACTGAATGAAAGTAAAAACAGAGCATATCAAGCTTTATGTGAACTGTTTGAGTGTTCAGATTGGGGAGGGGGCTGTATAGCATCACACATGTAGACTAGAAAAGAGGAAAAGTATAAAATAAATGACCTGCTTTTGCCTTAGGAAACTAGAATAGAAAAGCAAATTAAACTTAAGGCAGGCAGAAGGAAAGAAATAATAAAAGAATACCAGGTATCATGGCACACACCTGTAATTCCAGCACTAGACGACCATCACAAATTCGAGGCTAGCCTGGGCTACACAGTGAGATCCTGTGTGAAAAGTAAATACATAAATAATAGGAAAAAAACAGAAATCAATGAAAATGGAATCAGAAAAACAGTAGAAAAAACTCAGTGAAATGAAAAACTGCTCCTATGAAGAAAATGAATAAAATAAATAAGCCTCTAAACCAGACTGAAAGAGAAGATTAAAACCAAACACATTAAATACCAGGTATAAATTTTCCAATATATGTAACATCTATATGGTGAAAATTATAAAATTCTAATGAAAGACTTCAAGAAGACCTAAATAAATGGAGAGAGTTGGAAGATCTAATATTAAGAGATCCAGTTGCCTCAAACTGATCTGTAGATTTGATTCAATTCCAATAAAACTCTGCTAAATTTTTTCATAAAAATTGAAAAGGTGATTCTAAAGTTTATGTGAAAGAATAGAGGAACTTGAACAACCAAAACAATCTTGAAAAAAGGAACAGAGTTGAAAGAACCATACTACCTGATTCCAAGATTTATTAGACTTGAAGACTTGAACAATAACTGAACTTAACTGATGTTTATAGAATATTCCGTCCAACAACAGAAGAATACTGTAATGAAGTTTAAAGCTACAGAAATAAGGTCAGGGTGTGGTTTTAGAGAAAAGGAAATCATATCCACTTTTGCTCTAGAACCTTCACATGGCCACACAGTACATAGGGCCACATAGTACATATAATCACAGTTTCAACCAAGTTGTTAGGTTCCAAAGCCCATGTTCTTTACACAATATCCCTCAGCCTTTTTTTTTTTAGGAAAATAAAACAACACTTGTGCTTTATAATTTCAAAAGCACTTCTGGAAAGCATTTTGGCATATCTCAGCTCACTTGATCCTACAAAGCCCTAGACAATACTATTATAACTGAGGCTCAATACTATCTTAACTGAAAGAAACTGAGGCTCTGAGGGGATAAGTGAGTTTCACATGGTCCCCAAGCTAGTCAGCGACAGACCTCGCTCTTCTGACTCCAGTGCTTGTCCTATATCCCACAGCTGTGAACCTTGTATCCAGGGCCTTGCCTCCAGGGACCCCCACAGCATGTGCCCTCCTCTCTTCCCAGTGAGCATCCTTGCCCTCGGGACATCCTGGATGAGCTGGTCATCACACCAGGTAGGCCTCCCAAACTCAGGCAAGATTTGCACACTCTTTTGTACACTAAGTGATGTCCTTTTCTCCAAGTGTCCTAGCCCTGTTCTCTTGGGAGGGGCCCCAGGTGGGTGCCCACATCCCCATCACAGCCTGAGTTCCACTCTGAGATCCCCTGCTGCTGAGTTCTCCAGGTCCCCTTCTCCCTTTTCCTACAGTTCCCCAGCTATCTGGCCCTCCCCAACCTGCCATCAATGTTCTCCAGGTCTCAACTTTGGGCCCCTTGAACCTCAGATCTGTCCATGATTCAGCTAAAGGAGACTGGAGTAATGTGCTTGCCTCCCTGACTTACTTCCTGGAGGCCTGTGCTGTTTCTGACAGTCCCCATGTCCTGGTCATGGTGAGAGAGCCCAGCACCCCTGGCAGGAATTCCCTGCCCTGTACTGGAGGCCTCTGCTATGGGTTAAAGGCAGAACCAAAGCCATTTCTCCTCCTGTCAGATAACTATACCAGCTTGCCCTGGTCCTCCTGAATTTTGTTTTGGGGTTTTCTTTCCCCAGGTCTCAGCTTGGAATCACTGCTGGGATTATAGGCATGTGGTACCACGCCTGGCTGCAACCTGCTCATTCTGATCCAGCCCCACTCCCCCCACTCCCAGCCGGGGCTGCAGCCCCAGCACATGTGTCCCAGGCCTCTTTGCTGCCCCCAGCCAACTTGCCTCTCACTGAGTACTCAGTGGATTTGGAATTAAAAACTAAATGATCAAGCCCAGTTCCTCTGAGCTTTTGCTTTCTACTCTTCCTGTTTGCCTGCCTGTCTGTCTGCCTGCCCAACTACTGATCTATTTTTCTATCCATCATGGTAGATAGGTGTGAATCAACCATAGATAGTCATGGAATAGTAGCTGTTGAACCAATTGCCTTTTGTGGGTGTGTGAACATACTTGCGCATGAGTGTGGCCATGTGGTATGTTGCCATTGACGCAGTTTGTGAGAGACAGAAGCAGAGGCAGGAAGAAATGAATAAGAATTAGATTTTTTTTGAGGGGGCAGGGAAGGAAGGACCTTGAAATCACATCCATTCAAAAATGTCCTGCCTTTCTCGAAGATAAATATAGCATCATGAGTAGATGTGTCACTGAGGATACTTTCAAAACAAAGCCGGGAAGAATCACTTGAGGAGGCTGCTGGTGCTTGGTGCTCTCTGTGCTCAGAAGCCCCTAGGTCCTGTCCTTCAGCCACACCCCACCTGGGGAGGGGCAGGAGGAAGCTGGAGGAGAGAGAAGCTAGGGGGAGAGGAGAGTAGCAAGGGCAAGGTGCTCCTTGGAAAGGACTGCCCACCGGAGGCCCCAGGTCACCGATTCCTGCCCCCTCGGGGAAGAGCCTCAGAAGCCAATTCCTCCACAGCCGCTGCAGTGCACGCTCAGAACAGACGGCTCAGCCCCAGACATCTACTTACCAGGCGAGCCATTGGGAGCAACTATCTGAGCTAAGAATACATCTTCACTCCACGGGTGCATTAAACTCATGCAGCCCCTAGTACAGCACAGGGCCTTCCAGTCAGATTAGATTCCAGCTTCTGACAATGCAGATAATCCTGCCAGAGCTCTAAGAGGTCCAATTTGCAGATGGAGAGAATGAGGACCGGGGTTGATTCAGTGACTTCCCAGGAGCCACGGTCGGCCACGGCAGAACTGGACTTTGTCTTCCAGGTGCAGAGAAGGCTCCCCTTGCTCCCCAGCTACACCCCAGCAGGGTAAGAAGTCTTGCTCACACCCCAGTCCACTCCACTGTCAGCAGAAGCCTCAGCCAGCTCTAGTCCCTGAAGGGCAGTCTCGGTCCCTGTGGGAACTGAGGGCTGGAGGTCCTTATTGATCCTCCAGGAGAATGCAGGTTGGGCTTTTCCAGCTATGAGCAGTTCAGCTTGGGCTCAGGGGAGCACCCTCCAGGGCCTCGGGCCCAGCTCAGCACCTGTGCCTCCAGCTCACGACAGGACCAGGACACCCCTCCGCCCTGGCCAAACAATATCACTTCTTGCTATGGTTGTCAGCTCTGCTGAAATGCCTCTTCACCTCTGTATTCATCATGACAAAATACTGTGGACTACATGGCTTAAACAAGAGAAACTGACTTCTGACCACTCTGGAGGCTGGAAGTCCCAGGTCAGAAGCCAGCGTAGTCAGTTTCGGGCGAGGGCTCAAAGTTAGCCACCTTCTTGCTGTGTCCTTACAACAGAGATCTCATTCTTCTCTCCCTCTCTCTCTCTCTCTTTTTGTTTCCCATTCAGTTTATTGGTCCATGTTAGGTACACAACACAGTTACATTCATCACTGGGATCTTATATCTTTGCATGATGTATCTTGGTTCTTATTTTTTCCCCATTCCCTGCCCTCCCTTCACCCCCTCCACCCTTCCCTATTTACAAGACTTTGTTTCCATGTTGTTCCTTTTCTCATATTTTTTCTTTTCCCTTCTCTCTTTTGAGGCCACTCATCCTGTCAGATCTGGGCCTCACCCTTAGGGCCTCATTTCTCAAAATACAGCTACCCTGGGAGTTAGGGCTTCAACATATGAGGTTTAAGAGAACACCAACATTCAGTCCGTAGCTTCTTTGGGAGTCCAATAGAACTGGGTTCAGTTTCAACCTCTGCCCCTGCCAGCTCTGTGACCTTAGGAAAGATTTCTGCCTTATGCATTAGTTTTCCGATGGTGCTGAAATAAACTGCAGCAAACTTACTGGCATAAAACAACACAAATGTATTATCTTATAATTCTGGAAATCAGGCACCAAAACCAGACCCCCTGGGTAAGGAAGGTATCAAGCGGGGCTTCACTCCTTCTGACTCTCAGGGAGAATCCATTTCTTGCCTTTTCCAACTTAAGCAGCTGCCCATGTTCCTCACCTGTGGCTTCACATCACTTGGACGACAGCTCCTGTGAATGTATCGCTGCACCTCTGGCCTCCAGTCATTGTCTGTTGAGGACCTGGGCTTCCACTGGACCCACCCCGCTGATCCAGAAAGCTCTCCTGTCTCCGGATCCTTCCTGTCCTGCCCTCTGCAAACTGCCCTTTGCCATAAAAGGAAAGCAGTTTGCAGGTTTGGAGAGAAGATGTGGACATCTTCTCCTGGGATGCCATTATTGACCCTACCATGCCTGGACCTCCTCCCCTGTCGAGTGAGAATGATCATCTGAGGTGTCAGCTCTGCTGAGAGAGTTAGGATGTTGCCAAGTGCCCCGCACCATGCCTGGCACAGAGAGCCACGGAAGCCGTGCCATGGCCATTTCTGCCCTTCTCCCCTTCTGGGTTGAACTCATCAGAGGCCACCAAGGCCCAGCCCAGGCCTGGCTCTCAGTAGGGATGTAAAGAATCCCTGCTGAAATAAAACGCCCACGGGTGACAGATGGCTGTGACCTCTCAAATGCCAAGACGGGGCTATTTACAAATCTGAGGCTTCTAGGCAGCAGTGGGAGGAATTTGAATAGAAACATGGAACGGTATGTGCGGAAACATAAATTCCAAGTTATTTTTGCTGGGAAAGCTGAGCGGAAAGGCCTTCCATCCACATTGCCCTCATCAGACCCGCTCTCCCAGGTGGGCTTTGACAGAGACTCATCTGAGCAGCAGGCTCCCTGGGGCAGAGGGAGGCCCTTGCAAGGGAGCAAAGCAGCCCGGGCTCCATCCCTCCAGAGGAGCCGTGTCTGCGTCACTGCCTGGGCTTGGGAGGGTAATGGCCCAGGGTGGCCGGGCCCAAGCAGCAGCTGGTCGGCTGAGGAGCATGGGGCAGAGGGCCTCTGGCTTTGTTTCCCCCCAGCTTGTGAAGTTGCCAAAGACCAAGAACATTCATACTTTGTGTGGTGCAAAGTGTACGGTACACAGCTGGTGCCTAGGGAAGTCGGAGACATTTCTGAAGACCTAATGGGACCCCAGCTCGGGAGCAGGCATTGAGACTTCCGGGACAGGACAAGCCATGGATCTCAGGGCTCAGGGGTAGAGACAGGCACACATATGCCACGTTTCTACCCAGGGCCATGCATGTCAGGACAGGTGGGTGTTGGGGACACAGAAGACAGAGCAATAATTAGTGTTAGGTACAAGAGGGAGCTACACAGAGAAGCAGATGTTTCAGTCGGACTTGAGGCATGGGTAAGTCATTGAAGGCAGAGGAGCAAAAGAAGAGCAGAGAAACAGACAAGCATGTGCAAAGGCCCTGAGGTAGGAAGGATCCTGGTGTGTTGGGGTGTGGTCACTGGACAGTGGTGGCTGGAAGTCGTGGGGAATGGAAAGAAGTCTTGAGACTGGAAGCTGGGAAGCTGGACAAGAGAGAGCATGAAGGTTCTAGGTAGAAAAATGATGCCGTCAGTCCTGCCTCTTGTGGAGCCTACGTAGTACCCTCGTTTCCATGTAGATTCAGCCCAAGGGACAAAAGGAGACTAGGCAGTTGGAGAGGGGCAGCTGGTGGAACTGTGTAGGAAGACAGAGGTTCTTCCAACCCTCTCCCATCTCCAGGGCTGAGGAAAGAGGGGCTGGGAGCTGGGTGAGCCATTGGCTTTACTCACAGAGACCAATTTCCACAGGAAGCTAAAGCCCCCTCTGCTGCTTCCTGCAGCCTTGGGAACCCCAGGCTTGGGCTTGGCACTGCTTGGCTCCGAGTCACTTTTCACCCAGGCTGCCCTCATTTGCTACCTTAGGGCCAGCAGCCCTTTCCTCCACCGCCAGTGAGGCCACGGCTCTGAACCTTTTCCTGCACCCTGAGATGGGAGACTGTGCCCTCAGAGCTTCAACTAAGATCCCCAGCAAGCCCACAGCCCGAGATGGGCTGTCATGTCTGCTCCTGGGTGGGGTGAAGGCCCAGGCCCTGAGTGGGGGGTGGTGCTGCCCCAAGGATGAGACCCACAGAGAGGGCAGCTAGGGCCTCACCCAGTCCTCTCTTGGGCTTCACACAGCCTGGCCCTGCAGCACTTACATTCTTGACTTGGGGCCTGGACCTGCCCGGTTAGGCCTGGCTGTGGGCAGTGGAGATAAGGGAGTGCAATTTGGACTTCAGAGCGGGCCTCGCTCCAGAGACAGGGAAGGGCTGGGAGAAAGGTTGTCTACCGCCTGCCGCCTCCCAGAGCCCGAGAGCCTGGGCCTTGTCTGAAGACACACGGACAGCAGCAGCAAGGTCTAGAGGGAAGCAGCTGCTGGGCAGGTCAGAAGGAACAGCTGCCTCCTGCAGATGCTGGTGGGACACTCAAAACTGAGGCTTGGGGTGGACATCTTTTTAGGAGAGATGCCAAGCAAGATTCAGGATGGTCCCAGCCAGCAAGGTACACAGAGGCACATGACAGTCCACTTTGGGTCACCCTAGCCTGCAAAGCCACTCTTGAAAGTGGCCCATTTCCGTGCATCAACTTTGGGTAGTGCTAGGGCAGGGATGGCATGAAGGCCAGAGTTGCCCCAGGAAGGGGAGACTTCCCGAACCAGGTTAGAGGACACACCCATCACTCTGAGTGGGCAGAGGCACAGGCAGCAGGAACAGGCTCCAGGGTCAGAGCTGCCACACTGCCCAGGGCTGACTGAGCCCTCAGTTATGAGACAGAGAGGAACAAAGAATCTCACCTGAGGGCCAGGGGCTCCCCTCAGGTCTGCCCCAGAAGAGCGTGGATGGGAGCTGTGGATGCTGACTCTGCTCCACCCACTGGGACCTGGTATCAGCCTCCTTGTCTGGGCAAAGAGACAGTGGCTACATGTCTTCTGAGGTCCATCTAGCTAGACATCCTT